TCTCATCCTTCACAGGCAGAATCAGAAGTATCAGACTTGAGTTACAGCATGAAGATAAAAGTTAGATGTGAGGAGAAACTTTCTGATAAGAAGGACAGATTGCTCAGGGAGACTGTAGACACTCCCTTACGGAGTATTTTCAAGAACAGCATAGACAAATGTGAGGGAAGATATCAGTGCACAGCACCCTAACTAGGATACAAGGCATGGAGTAAGTGACCTCATTATCCCTTCCTAGACTATTTTTCTTTGATTAAAGCTGAATTAAGAAAGGAAAACCCCTGGGCTAGGCAAGTGTTTTCAAACGTAAAATGTAATAGAATAAGCTTGGCCTTGGTCAGGGAAAGTGTTGAGTAGTTGTGGCTGCGCTCACTGACCTCACCCAGAGCATAAACAAAGTAGGATTTCAAGGATGGGGCCATAGACACTGAATTTATAGTAACTTTTAATATTGCTAAATTATTGTCATATTGGCCAGGTCTTATATTTTCTGTAACTCCTATCCTATCTGTTATGACACTTTACATTACATTTTGTACAGGACCTTTTGGGGAATTTTCAGCCTCTGATAAAACCTGAGCCAAAAGGACTTTTTCAGTTGGTTTCCATTTTACAACTGTTCAGATTACTTTCCCACAGTGGTATTTACTTGCCTTTTGGCTTTTTAGGCGATGTACCAACCAATGACTACAAGTAGTGGTTGAATTTATGGATATGTCCTTCAACACACAAGTGTGAAGCGTGAAGAGTTGGTACATACAGTATCAACCTACAGTTGTTGAGATAATTTAGCCTAAAAAATTGCAAGGGAATAAGATTTCCTAGAGAGCAATATTTCAGAGCTACTGAGTTGTTGAGTATTGGTATTTTTTAGGTATTTGGGAATGACCCAAATGAAATTACTGGAAAAAATTAAAAAGAACAGGCTCCTGTGATGAATGGATTACAATACAAGTTAGAGATCTTAGCAACAAAAAGCTTGTATGCTTTTGCAAAAAATAAATATTTTCATTAAAATCCCAAAAGTTCTTGGCATGAAAAACTTTCAACAAAAGGATTGCATTTTTCTGTGGGGGGAAAAAAAAAATCACTATAAAAATTCATTGGTTGGTTGTTATGTTTTCATCGGCATTTCACCCAGCTTGTCTCACATTACCACTAGTCTGTCTCTTCCCTTCCCTTCCCTTCCCTTCCCTTCCCTTCCCTTCCCTTCCCTTCCCTTCCCTTCCCTTCCCTTCCCTTCCCTTCCCTTCCCTTCCCTTCCCTTCCCTTCCCTTCCCTTCCCTTCCCTTCCCTTCCCTTCCCTTCCCTTCCCTTCCCTTCCCTTCCCTTCCCTTCCCTTCCCTTCCCTTCCCTTCCCTTCCCTTCCCTTCCCTTCCCTTCCCTTCCCTTCCCTTCCCTTCCCTTCCCTTCCCTTCCCTTCCCTTCCCTTCCCTTCCCTTCCCTTCCCTTCCCTTCCCTTCCCTTCCCTTCCCTTCCCTTCCCTTCCCTTCCCTTCCCTTCCCTTCCCTTCCCTTCCCTTCCCTTCCCTTCCCTTCCCTTCCCTTCCCTTCCCTTCCCTTCCCTTCCCTTCCCTTCCCTTCCCTTCCCTTCCCTTCCCTTCCCTTCCCTTCCCTTCCCTTCCCTTCCCTTCCCTTCCCTTCCCTTCCCTTCCCTTCCCTTCCCTTCCCTTCCCTTCCCTTCCCTTCCCTTCCCTTCCCTTCCCTTCCCTTCCCTTCCCTTCCCTTCCCTTCCCTTCCCTTCCCTTCCCTTCCCTTCCCTTCCCTTCCCTTCCCTTCCCTTCCCTTCCCTTCCCTTCCCTTCCCTTCCCTTCCCTTCCCTTCCCTTCCCTTCCCTTCCCTTCCCTTCCCTTCCCTTCCCTTCCCTTCCCTTCCCTTCCCTTCCCTTCCCTTCCCTTCCCTTCCCTTCCCTTCCCTTCCCTTCCCTTCCCTTCCCTTCCCTTCCCTTCCCTTCCCTTCCCTTCCCTTCCCTTCCCTTCCCTTCCCTTCCCTTCCCTTCCCTTCCCTTCCCTTCCCTTCCCTTCCCTTCCCTTCCCTTCCCTTCCCTTCCCTTCCCTTCCCTTCCCTTCCCTTCCCTTCCCTTCCCTTCCCTTCCCTTCCCTTCCCTTCCCTTCCCTTCCCTTCCCTTCCCTTCCCTTCCCTTCCCTTCCCTTCCCTTCCCTTCCCTTCCCTTCCCTTCCCTTCCCTTCCCTTC